TCCGATTCGTCGTCCGATTCGTCGTCCGATTCGGCTTCGAGTGAAACCTCCGGCAAGTCTTCCTCCTCCTCCTCCTCCTCAAGCTCCGCGGATGACTCTCAATCGGATAGCAGCTCATCGGGCGTCAATGCATCCCACGCCCTCCCCTCTTCAGAGGGCGGTGCCAGTCGGGTGATCTCACTCCAGGCGCCGCCCAGCGTGGAGGATTGTCTTTCGGAGCCCGAGTCACCGGCAGAGGAGGAAGCTCCGTCAACTCTGCCGGCTACTCTCTCCTCGAGCGTACCCGCGCGTGCTGGGCTGCCCAGCCTGGCGGAGGTTGAGCCCTACTGGTCGCATGTCAGCTATTTGGCCGAGGCCCATGCTCCTGCATGGACGCGCTTTGTCGTGTGCGTTCTTTCCCCCCCCCCCCTCTCTCTCTCTCTCTCTCTCTCTCTCTCTCCCTCCCCTGCCTGTCCCTCTCGCCGATATGCGGTTCTGACCTGCTGGTGGGCCTTTCATTTCCATGTGGCATCCAAACAAATCAGACGCCCCGGCATCGTGTGGCCGGCTACGCCCGAGATGTTGGCCGCCATTACGTGTGTACTTCGTGACCCCTTGCCCGCTCCCTTCCTTGTTTTTTTTCTCTCTCTCCCTCTCTCTCTCTCTCTCTTCACGCCCTCTCCCCTTTGGCCCTCGGCCTGTGGCCGGCCACCCTGCCGCCCGCTGACCTTGCCCGAAATGGCCCAGTGGCGGGGCCCTTCCCCATGCCGGCGGCACGGCGGCCGACCATGCGAACATCGATTCGGCCGGCGACCAGTCGGAGCTCGGCCACCGAGTGGGCGGCCGGCAGGGGTCGTCCCGTTCTGGGTCTCGAATTTTCCGCCACTCGAAGACCCCCGAGCAGGCGTCTCTCGATGCCATTCGCGGGCACCTTGGCCTGCGGGATAAGCTGATCGAGCGTGGGCTGGCCATCCTCGCGGGGGCCCCCGGGGAGCCGGAGTTGGCCCTGACCGATCCCCTACGAGAGGACCTCCTCCGGCGCCGGGCGACTGCCGAGGGGCAGCCCTCCTCCGCGTCGGAGCCAGGCCCGGAGCCGAGTCGCAAGCGCCGGCGCTCGGCTGATGATCCCTCGGTGACCGCGCGCTTCGAGGAGGTCCCCGGCTGGCGGGCACGTCAGCGAATGGATGCGGCCGTGCTGGCGGCCGATGCGGCGGCCGACGCCTTCGGCAAGATCATGCGTACTTGGTTGCAGGCACGCCGGTTCCGCGTCCGACGGCCGAACTTCGCCGTGCGGCCGGTCCTTTCCGGGGACATCCCGATTGAGGATGTGCCACGAGTGCGGGCCGAGTTGCGTGCGCGGCGGCGCCGGCAGGCCTCCGCCCGGGCTGCCCCCATGGACGACATCCCGGCGGAGGTGGCCGACGAAATGCGGTCCCCGGCGGCCGGAGGCACCGGGCCACAGTTGCACTACGCCCCGTCGGTGGATGACAGCGATGCCTTGACCGGGGACTGGCGGGCCATCATCGCTTGTGCGTCGGCCATCGCCTCGGCCGCCGGGCCCGGGGGGATAGTTTCCCACGCGGCGGTTGAGGACGCCCGGCGGCTGTTGTTCCGGCTCTATGGTGGCAGGGACATTGAGTGAGCACATGGCATCCTTCCTTGCATGTCGGCCGCGCACATGTTTCCCCCCCCCCCCCCCCCCTCTCTCGCCCCCGATCTGTTCCTGTGTCCCTTCCCCTCTCCCATTACTGTGCCATCGACAGACCAATGCACGGACCTTGTCGCGCAAGCGCGAGCCCCCTCCCCCTTCCTCTTGTCGTTGGTGGATCAGCCCCTCCTCCCGGCCCCCCCCCTCCTTGGTGAAAAGCCCGGGCACCCCCGCCCTTGTCCTCACAATATGGCAAGGTACATTTTCCATCTAACGGTCGCATGAGCGAGGGGGAGTGGGCGAGGCTGGTGAGAACTGCGGGCTCGTGGAGCGTGCAGCAAGGAAAGGCAGGCAGGCAGGCAGGCAGGCAGGCAGGCAGGCAGGCAGGCAGGCAGGTGGAAAGAGCGCATGAACCGGGCAGACAGACGGGCGCATTTGTACGAGGCCTGACAGGAGCAGTCAAAGAGCGGTGGACAGGAGTGCAGACAGATCCTTGCACCGGTACGGTGCTTTGTTCTGCTCCCTTGGCCCTCTTGCCGTGTGTTGCTCCGCCCTGTCGGTGTGTTTCGCCCGGGAAATTGCCACCCGTCGCGCGGTACGCATCCCCCCTCGGTCAGCCTCGGGCTCTGGTTCCCTGAAGCCTCCTTCTCTCGCGCAGGGAGAGAATGGCCCCGCTGTTGCCGGAGCAAGCGGCCCCGCCCCCGCACGCACACCTATACTGAGTGCGCGCGCGCGCGCCGAAGACATACATCCAGGGATGAGCGTGCACATGTGTACAGGCCTTCCTCCTTTTCGTCGGTTGTTCTTTCTCCTTTTTTTTCCCCCGGCTCGGCCCCCTTTCCTCAATGGGCCTCCAGCTCGGCGGCCATCGAGCCCAGAGTGTCGGCCGAGAATTGGTCCTCCAGACGCGGGGGCGGCCCGTCGGCACAGTGCTGGGCCCGGGGCCGGATGACCACCTGCAGGCCGTTCTTCATGGGGCAGGTGAGGTTGAAGGCGATCTCGAAATTCTGGTCCGGCACCATTTCGAGGTCGTAGCGCTGGACCAGAGTGGCCAGCACCATGGCCTGCTCCAGGAGCGCCATGTTCTGCCCGAGGCAAGTGCGCGGCCCGGCCTGGAAGACCGGATAGGCGAAGGGCGAGGGCTTGATAAAGTCCCCGGCCGGGTTGAGGAAGCGCTCCGGGCGGAAGGCCCGCGCGTCCGGGCCCCAAATGGCCTCGCAGCGGCCCATGCCATACGGGAAGTACACCACCAGGTAGCCCTTCGGCACGCGGGTCCCATCCGGCAGGACGTCATCCTCCACGGCTTGCTTGATGTCACGCGGCACGCTGGGATACAGACGCAGCGACTCGTGGATGACGGCCATCAGGTACTTCATCTGCTGGGAGGTGGTGTAATCGCAGGGCTTGCTCGAGCCCAGCACGCGGTCGATCTCCTCGCGCAGCTTGACAAACACCTCCGGGTTCTCGCACAGGAGCTTCACCGTCCAGGCCAGCGACTGGGCCGTGGTGTCACGCCCGGCGATGATGATGTTCAGCACCATGTCAATCAGGTAGTCATCGGTGAACATCTGCCCGGTGTCATCGGTCCGGGCGAGATACAGCGACAGGAGATCCGACCGGGAGTTGAAGCGCTCCAGGTCGCGGGCCTGCTCGTCGCGGCGTTCCTGGATGATCTGCGAAAAGGGGGTGCCGATTGGCGGCGGCGGGGGGGGGGAGTTCCATGAGGAGGGAAGAGGGGGAAAGTGTCGGGGGTGTGAGTAAGCCAGGCGGCGGCGGCGGGGGAAGCAGCGCATGGAATGGCAGACGCGACGAAGCGTGGCAGGCCAGCATGGCGAGAGGCCAGAGGGGCCACCCTCGGACGGTGTCTCTCGCCGTGCGTAAAAAGGCCCCGGGAGAAGGGCACCCCCCGAGGGCTGGAGAGGCGCGCATGGACGTACATCGCGCGCAAAGCCACGCAGGAGCTTGACCTTGTAGCTGACGTTCTCTTCGGCGATGAACAGCTGGCGAATGTACCGGTGGAGGATCATTCGGTAGATGACCGTCTCGTTGGTGGTGTCCCAGGCAACGACGAACGGCAGCCGGCTGTTCCGGATGGACCCGAGATTCTTGCCGAAGGCAATCTGGCAGATGGAGTCCAGGGTGAACCGGTGGAAGAACTCATGCAGATCCACCGGCTTGGCCAGCTTGGTCTCCAGAACGGAGCAAAGCTCACGCAGGTGGAAGCGGAAGACATGGGTCATGCCGTTGCGGAAGTTGGACACCTACGGGTGACGGCGAGATCCCCCGGCCAGGCGGGATTGAGGTGCACGAGGGGCCGAGGGCCGAGGAGGGGCCGGGGGGGGGGG